CCCCCCCCCGAAAAAAAAGAGCAGGACTTAGCAGCACCATCAGCGGTGTGCTTTGTTAGAGATTGGTGAAGGAATCTACTGGGGCTGATAATCACATAGAGCTTTACATCAGTGAGTCCCGTCACCGACGACACTGGTCCCACTCGGGTTTACCTCGGCATTTAAAACAGTATAAAAAAAACTGAGTTCAAATCATAAGGACACCCTCTTTTACGAGAAAAACAATACAATGCTTAAGAGCATTGGGGGTAAAATTTGTTTGTCTTTAAATACATGAAAAATGAAGATATAGAACTTGAATAACATTAAGGCGGTATATACATTTTTTTCCTGTTGAAATGCCTAATTGACCACTTTCACACAGTCATTTATACACTATATTCCACCTCCTCTCAGTGAACTACAGGATAAAGAACTGAGAGTCTATCCCACGCGAGGCCCCAGACGACAGCAGCCTGGTCTCAGAACTACTCCGCCCTCTGCTTGGTGCACCAGATTGTTTCAGCTCTGAGCAGTGGTGTCACAGTACGTTTGTCACAGAGAACTGGGTCAGCTAGCTGACTGGGGTGGAGGGTGGGGTGTGGGGTGTGGGGGGGGGGGTGGGGTGTAAAGGGGAGGGGGGAGGAGGTTGAGGAAGAGTCCCTCTGACCTACAGGCCCTTGGAGGGCCCAGGATTCTTGCCCATGCCTTGAGGGGAGCCCAGGCCGTGGAGCTGCTGGTAAAGCCCCACCAGGTCCATCTGACTGAGCCCGCCGCCTCCCACTCCCATCATGCCGTTCTGCATGGCCAGCTGGTTCAGGTAGTTGGCCTGGTTGGCCATGGCCAGCTGCTGCTCCTGCACCTTCCTGTTGGTGATCAGCTTCTGCACGTACATCATCAGCTGGGCAGACACAAACAGAGAGGTTAAAATAACTACAGTAAGACTACTATTGTTCAATTAGTAACATGAGAACAATCAAAGATATCCCATGTCCAAAGTACATGTAGATCATAGTGTTCATAGTACTAATGATCATACAATAACGTATCTCCTCCTTCTTACCGTCTGCTGCCTGGTGAGGACGTCCCGGTACACAGCTTCCCTGCGCTTGATCTCCAGCTCCAGACTGGCCTGGTGACCCAGAGCCAGAGACTGGACCTGAGTCTCTGTGAGTGCTGGGTTCTCCTTCCACTGTGGGGAGAAAGGAGAGCCCACACATGTTAACCTCAGCCACCATCACAACTAGGAATCACTGCACTTGTACACAGAAACGTGGCTTCATTAGCAGCACTTCATCTGTGGGACAAATAAAGATTCCTCTCTAAGAAGAGTTATGGACTACATCACTCACCAGTCTGGCGATTGTATCTTCCAGTGACTCCCGTGGCAGAGTCTTCAGCGAATTTGTTGCTTCAATGACTTTCTGTCGCCCCTGGTTTATAAGGTCCTAAAGACGAATGAGGAAGACGGGTTAGCTTTTCTCATTTTTACTAAAAAGCAATGGATACATAACTGTGGCTATTAATAGAACAACATTTTCTTGGGGTTAACAGATTATCAGCCTGGCCAATTATCGTCGCTCATCAGAATCCTTTTTTTTCCTCTCCTCTTTCAAATCCTAACATATATGGCGGTAGTTTTAGCTCCATCAGCATGTTTTTGGAATCAACTCTACATGTTGTAGAAGTCTGTCTTTTTACAAAGATACAGCTGCAACATCATAATTGCTCACATGGCACGATAACTAGAACTGAAGTCAGCATACAGCATTTCTACATTTCACCGTCCTTATTAAAAACACATATTCTTGGACGGTTTATCTGTTCCTTCGTTCAGATGTGCCACGGTGTATAAATAGCTGCTGCCCCAGACACGGCGTATTACGAACTGCTGGTCGGAGGAGCGCCGGCTCAGAGACTGTTGTCACAATTAGCAGTTGGGACTGAGGAATTTGGGGCGCCATGCCGTGGGGGGGGGAGGCAGGAGAGGGGCATGTGGAGCTCATTACTTACCTCCAGCTGCTGGTTGGTCATGGAGGCCAAAGCAGCCATGTTGAAGGAGAAGTAGTTGGAGTTGCCCATGTCCATCTGGTTGTATGCCGCCTGGTAGTTGTTCTTCATGAACACACCCTGAGAGATGAAAGACAGAGGGGGGGGGGGGGAGAATCCAAGAGAAGAGCAGGATTAGTGCATTTTAATTGGGCAGGTGGTAAGAGCCACCAAGGGCATGATGGGAGAAGCTGTGTGCCACCACTGAGTTTGACCTGAGATGACAGTTCACTTCAACCCGAAGTAAACAGACGTGTCCCAGTAAAGGCCAGCAGGACGCTGATGTTTGTGTGTAATTGAGCCTCTGCTGCAGATGGTTTTCCTGTGCCCTGTAATCTGGCCATCCGGTATGTAGGTGTGTGTGTGTGTGTTTTGGGGGCCAGTGGGGAGAGATCTTTGGACCTGGTCAAATAGACAGGTGTGCAGGACTAAACAACCCCAAAAGAACAACAGACAGACACACACGCACGCACGAACGGACTCACGTTTGGGTTTGCTATTAACAAGCAGCCACTCTTGGACCTTAGCTGCAGTCTCAGATGCTCTGCAGACTTCATATATCTTCAGACAGACACAAAATCTAGACTTGACTTCATTTCCAAAACCAAAAAAAATGTATGACCTGAGCCTCTCTAAGCTCTGTAGCGAGCTGAAGTCATCCCGGTGAGGACGAGGGCTCCCGGGTTCAGTTTAGTTTTGGGCGCCTGATCATGTTCTCACAGTTTTTCCCATTTCCTGAGTTGCAAATCTGATATTCATACACATACGCTTTTCCTGGCCACTGCCGGCCAACCCTCAAGTTGTGAAGACATTAGCAGAGGCCGGGTTACTTTCCAGTTGTTTCTCATACAACACTCAGAGTATACACCGTGGCTACTTGTGCATCCTTAGTGCACGAGTAGTACATTAGCAAACGTACAGATCGCAGTGATGCGAAGGCAAAGTAAACCCTCACATCAGATCTCAGGTGACTGGGAAACCTCTGTTCTCTTGAAGAGCAGAGGAGCTCTGAGGGGAAAAGCCGCTTAAGGCACACAGAGCGCAGAGGAGGGAGAGTGTGTTGGAAAAATAATCATTAGGGTGAATTAGAATCTAGGATTACACAGAGGGGGGGGGGGGGGGGGGGGGGGGGGGGGGG